TTATCTTTATCATTGGCGTCAATGTCCTCCACTGGACACATGGCTTTAGAGAAAGCTTCTGGTTTGTCTTCACTGATGTCCATAGGATCAACAGTCACTATTGGTTCTGTTGGCATCTTTAAAGATGGTATTAATTCCACAACAACTGGCTCCTTATCCTACAATAAGCAAATTGAAAACCTGGATAAAAATTACATCCAATCCAAACTAGAGTTTCTATAATCGATTCTAGAAATCAAAGTATCGAAGAAATCTTATTGTTTTAATCCTTCAGATATAAATTGTGCTCTTATCAAAACTCATATGCATCAATTCAAATATGATCGTGACCTACATTTCTACACAGTAAATTTCTCTAAAGAGTTTACAAGCAGCAGCACTGAGGAATCAGATTAAAGTTTGACAGAGCTTCTGAATTTCACAGCTGAATTAAATTGCTTATTGGAGAATACATTACCTGGATAGTTTCCAATTCTTGCTCTTTCTTGACAAATTTAGATTTCTGTAAAATTTCCTTTTTGATGATACCAGATTTCTTCGTAGGGTCAATCGTCATATTGGACACTTTGTTGCCGATATCTCCCAGGGCAGCACGGTTCGTTCTGGTTGGAAATCCTTTCGTGGACATTGTATCTTTTTTAACATTAATATTTTGGCTAGCAATGTTTGCCTGAAAAAAAAAATTAACTTTCAGATTAAGGACAATTGGCAAAAACAATCTAGCTCTCAAACTAAGAACAGAACAAATTAACATTTGTGTTTATATTTTTTTAAGGTAGGAAAGCTCAGAATCCGAACTATACAACTCACAAGTAATTTGGTGATGTCCATTTTAATGGTTGAAAAAAAAAATAACTGTCCTATTCTGGTATGTGAATGAAATATCCAAATCCAGCCATGGAGTATAATCCTAAACACTGGTAAATACACCCACTATGGTCAACATAAGCCAAGGTTAATCTCTTTAACTAGCCCTAATCTATTGATAAATATTGATTCAATAATCACTGTTAGGTAATCATTTGACCGGTACAGGATTAGGTATTCCAATATCTAATAATAACAGTTTGCCACTTTTACTAAAATTTATGACACCAGCACCCCAGTATAGTAGGATACCAGAATTACCTCAGGATTACAAATCAGAGGCAGATCCTAGCCCTAGGAACTAGGCCTAGCCATAGACTAAAATATCATTTATGCCCCAACTTGAAATTCTTGGCCCAGGCAACTGGACAACACCAATACAATAGCATTTCCCTTTTCCTGTCTGTACTTGCTTGACCATGTAACAATGGTTGACCCATTCACATTCAGCTATGAATAAGCCATAATAATTTTGCCTTTCATTTCAGACTGAGTTTGGGGTGAAAAGCTGCCTTCAAATCAAATTTCCAAGCCATTCACAAAAACTAAGAACAATTTTCTATGTTCACAACGCTTAAATTTGACCTGATTGCGTTTGTATTGGCGACGGCTTGGCTTTCATTACTTTCCGATTCCCCACCCCACCTTTTTTTTCACTTGAAAAATGAATGAAAAAGGTCCAAAATCGCTGAAAATCAACTTGCAAAGAAGAAAATAACGTTACCGATGAAGATCTTGTGGTAATTGAAGTCATTTTGATTCTGAATATACAAGGACTGGAATATTGTTACAATTTTTTTGCTGAGTTTCTACACCTTCA